TGCAGCGAGGCTAACTGCATGCAGCTAGGCTAAGGCTTTATCCTGCTTCACTGCCTCCTTTTTCAGGTTCTCACTTCAACATAGATTCTAACTACTTTTTACCCGCTGATCACAGCTAATATAGCAAAGCTGCTCTCTGGCATTGAACACAGGAGCAGCAGAAGCACTTTACCACCGCGCAGCCAGAGCAGCAAAGATGCTTCAGCCGCGCTTCAGAACTAAACTTGTAGAAGCATCAGAACTGAAGCAGAACGTGCGTTTTTGCTGCTTCTGCTGCTTCAGTCTGAACGTAACTTAAACTCCTCCTGATTGGTCCCTCTCAGGCACAGCGAATCAGCAGAAGTTAGGAGGATGGGAGCCAATCACGGACTCGATCACACAAACAGACAAAATAGTTTAATGAAAGAAAAACACAGAAATAACTGGAGTCTGACAAAAATGATAAATAACTAGAAAAGCACTGGGAGCGCAGACCTCCGCCCAGCAGCAACATTCCTCCATATTGTGACTTAAACTAAAACATGATCTGGATCTTTATGACACGTAAAGGAATTGTTTCTTAACACGAGGCGCAACTTTTAGTAAAAATCTCGTTAAAATCCATTCAGAACTTTTCAAGTTATCGTGTAAACAGACAGATTCCCCTCAGACCCTAACCTGCTGGGTGGAGGTTAAAGGTCAATAAAAATGAACAAACTAAAGTTTTTTTTTTAACCATGTTTCACCACATAAATGACGGTTCCCCTAACCGAATATTTAGTTGCCTTATGAGTCGATAACTGGTTCCTGCTCCTGTCAGTCAGAGCTCTGCTCCTCCTCCAGGAGTCTCAGGCTGTTTCAGCTCCTTCCAGAGATGCTCCGTAGGATGGAGGTCAGGGGCCCCTAGGGGCCCCTTCAGTCCACCGTTTCCCTCTCAGCCGTTCTCGGCTGTTTCTATCTCTGACCTTTGACCTGCTGCAGACCTAGCTTTCTGCAGCTGTTTCTCTACCATCCCTGATCTGGAGATTTCATTGGACCCTGCAGATTCAGATGAAGCTAAGCAGCCCAGAGCATGACACAGCCTCCTCCATGCTCCACAGTCTTGATCTGGGATCATAGAGCAGATGATTTCTGGCATAAAGCTCCATGTTTGTCTCCTCTGTCTCCTTTGTTTCATGTTTGGTGAATTCCAGTCTGTTTTTTATGATCCGTTTCATCCATGGTTCCTCCTGGTTGGTTTCCAGGTGAGCGATGCTGTGATCTGACTCTGATGTTCCTTCAGACTGAAGTTCACCTTTAATCTCTGTAGAAGTTTTTCTGGACTCTTTTGTTCCTATGATGCGTCTCTGATTGATCCTCAGTTTTCCTCCTGCAGACTCGTCCAGGGAGGCCTTCTTCAGTCCTAGATGTTCAGCTGCAGTCAGAGGAGCATTGAAGCTGCCTGGAGATGCTCTGATAGCCGTTAGCTTTAACATGCTGCTCTGTAATTTTCTCCTGAGAAAACTCTTTGTTTCTCTTCCTCCATGTAGAGTGTGGTACACACCATGTAGCTCTATTATAGGCCCACTGACTGGCTACTAGATTGCTATTAACTAGAAGCTAATTAGTGGACACACCCTGATTAACTCATCGTCTCATATTATTTTCATACTTTTCTAGAAGAACCATCATGTTGGTCCAGGTTTATTTAATAAGTTTATTTTTTAATTTATTCTTTAAAGCCTGGTTAAAGAGTAATATCTGCCTTCCATTGGTTAATTTTCATAGAAATAATCAGATTTTAAATTTTGTCGAATTGAAATTATTTCGGTGACCTTTGTGTGTTTTCTTTTATTAAAGGAACCATTTTCCAGCTGTGCAGGTAAAGAACAGCTTCTAACCTGATTAATCATCTCTCACCTGTTTTCACTTTAGAGCCACAAATGTTACATAAAGCTTTAAAAATAGACAACTTATATGTTTTAATAAATATCTACTATGTGAAGTTTGTCATTTTAGCAGATCCACCATTTTAATATCTATTAAGTTTTAAAGAAAAAAGTGCAAAAGGTGGATGAATACTGTTTCTTCTCCAAAACGATTCTGGATAAATTTAAAGTTATGAAAACAGGTTCCTGTATTTTCTGGTGCTCAACATGTTATAATTAGTGTTGCACCGAGGCCATTTTTAACCCCGATAAATGGCTGTGCAGAATCGGCCGATACCATCCGTTTGAAAGGGATGTGTGTAAACATGAAGAACTGCAGACTACTGTGATGTAAAATAATTGCCATCATGGCTGCTGCCTTCCTCTGTGAAGACCTGAGTGAAGTTGGCCCCGCCCACCTTCTTCAAATCAGACAAAATTAGTGTCAAACGTTTGTGCTACGTTTGTGCAACAAAATTTTTCGTTTGTGCCGCTTTCGTTTTAAAGATATAAAGAAATATTTCTAGAGGTCATCAAAGGTCAACCAGCCCCCCCACCTTCTTCAACTCAGACGAAATGAGTGTCAATTATCTCAGCTACGTTTCTGCTGGTTTGTGCAGCAAAAATTGTCGTTTGTGCTGCTTTGGTTTTGAAGATATTAATGAAAATGTAAAGGTCAAAAGGTCAACCAGCCCCCCACCTTCTTCAAATCAGACAAAATTGGTGTCAAACGTTTGTGCAGCAAAAATTTTCGTTTGTTCTGCTTTCATTTTAAAGATATAAAGAGATATTTCTAGAGGTCATCAAAGGTCAACCAGCCCCCCACTTTCTTCAAATCTTCAAAGCCAAAGCAGCACAAACAAAACTTTTTGCTGCACAAACGTTTGACACTAATTTTGTCTGATTTGAAGAAGGTGGGGGGGGCCAACTTCACTCAGGTGTTGAAGAAACTTTCGGCTCTCAAAATGGTATCGGTGCCCTATTGGTTGGTACTCACCGATACCGATTCCACCATTTTAGTGCTGATACTGCTATCGGTGCAACACTAATTATAATCATAACTTATTTATTTTCAAACCTTTTATCTTCAGCATTTTGCACGTTGAACCCACTCCTGCTGTTTTTCATTAACTGCAGCAGGTGGAGGTTTCTGCAAAGCCCTCATCTTTCCTTCCAGCTTTGATGCTTCTGGCTCTCTCCCTTCTGCAGAGACGTCCAGCCTGATTGTTCATTCTTAGGCACAATAAACCAGCTGAGGTTAGAAGAAACCAGAAGGATAGGAGCCAATCACAAGCTCTAGCTCTACAGAAAACCCCCCAAAAGATCAGTTAAACTCTGAAACCAGCAGCTTCCAAGTACGTAATCTTGATCTTTGTCGATGCATCTAGTCTGACAGTTTAGCTCTGAGTCCAGCTGAATAAATGAATGTGTGAGACCATGGGGACACATTAATGCAGCCTGCAGTGATGGAGTGGAGCTTCTCTCTGAACGGCTGAGTTCAGATAATGACCAAAGGACCAGGCTATAAATACTGATTGATTCTAACAACGCAGGTTTGCTTTTATAAACATTGTGGCGTCACCATAACTCTGTTTTTACCTCCATCAGTGAAAAGTCGTAGTTTCTCTCCTGAACTGTGCTGAGCAGCATCTGTGGATGATGTGGACCAGCGATCAGGAGGAGCTTTCTATCCGCTCTGACTTTACAGCATCGTTGCATCAATGTGATGAAGTATGTGTTCAGATTTAAAAAAAAAACAACAAACTCATCTGTTATATCAATCATTTTTAAACCAAAGCAAAAAAAATATGGGAAATGACACCAACTGATTTCAGTTATAACTAGCGTCCTCGTTCCGTTTGGTCTGATTTATGTTTTCAGTTGTTTTCTAGGGTCTAAAATTGTTCATATTTGAAGACATTTTTTTTATTTTTTCACCTTGGGGAAAGTTGAGGTTTTCAGTAATCGGTTGTCATGGATTCGGTTTGGGAGCCAGGATGTTATTTCTGTAAAACAACTATAAACAGAATTGTTCAGTTTATATCCAGACAGCGTCAGACCGTCCTATCATGTCCGTTCTTTCTGCGCAGACTGAATAATAACTTTATATTACTTGTGATACCTCAAGCATTCATGGTGGTTATTAGTACAAGTAGAACCTTTGCTAAAAAGTAGAAAGGCTGAAGCTTCTCCGTCTTTGTCCAAAGTGCTCATCTGTTGTTGCAGAAGCCATCAAATAAAAAAAACAATATTTGCTCCTCATCGTTATGATTCCAGTTCTGAAAAAACGGAAAAACTTTCGCCATCTTTTTCAAAAAGCTTTTTCCTTCCATCATTTCTCTGATCCAAAAATATGCAGAGTCAAACTCTGCACCCTTTCATTAGTTTATCTCTCATACATTTTTCCTAAAATATACAGTTATCATTGTCTTTTCCTCATCTAAACTACTGTGGCCGGTGTTACATGATGACAGAAGGGTTTATGTTCAAAGTGTCCGCAGACGGTAAGAGGCACTGTCTTGTGTTTGGAAAAACCTGACATAGCAATAATGAGAATAAAAAATCTGTAGTCATGCTAAAATAGGCCCATCTTTTGTCCCAGATGCAGGAAATATCTGCGGCTCTTTTCATTCTTTCTCTCCGTCTTCACTGCTTCCTATAGAGAAACACAGAAAACAATAAATGCAGGAAAACATTTTCATTCCTCATAATTGGTCAGACGACAAACTGCTTCCTAATGCTATGTTCAGACCGCACGCTAGTTAAGCAGCAGAAACAGCTAGTTTACAAATTCAATGGCTGACGAGCATCAAAAGGTCCTGCAGCACGATTCAAGCAGCAGCAACGCATCTTGATGCATCTGAGGCGCGTGACACGCTTCACAAGCAGCAGCTGCTGGAGCTGGAAGCATTGAACTTTGAACTGCTTGAGCTCTTTAGCTTTATTTATTTTTTCATTTTACATAAACATTTAAAATATTTCGAAATATATTAATATGTATTTTTTAGTTGTGTAAGATAAATATTTAATCTTTGACGACTAGTAGAGGGTCATTCAGTTTTTCGTCGGATTAGTGACGTATTTCCGTCCTATGGCGCAAAAATCTTTGCCCATTGACTCGTTAAAAGAAAAGAGAAAGAAATGTTGCAAGAAAGGTCTATTTCCAGTACCTGGTTTAGCTCCAAGGCTAGGCTAACTGCGTGCAGCGAGGCAAACTGCGTGCAGCGAGGCAAACTGCGTGCAGCGAGGCTAACTGC